AAGACCAGATTGGCATGGATTTGCTTATCAACACCATTGAGACAGATCGGATCTGGCAAAGTAACGACTGGCTTCTGCATCAGTTGAAGCTGCAGAAGATTTGCTGGGACCTTTTATGCAAAATCGTCCATACGCATCCAGGCCTGTGCGATCATGCGTATATGACCACTCTTGTGTTGTTGAAAGCAGAGGCACTACTTTCTGAAGTACTTGAGCCTCGTCCTGATGTCCTAGAAACTTGTGCAGAGGTCTGGAGGCATGCAACGCGACTGGACAAGGAGTACCCTATCACCCGCAGCTCTCACAAGTACAGGATCGAGCTCGAGGGTATGATCTTCTGGGTCCGATCCATTAGCGATCGGGGATTGAGTATTACCGGTGGCAACTATGCCGCGAGACTGTGTGTTGTTTTGCACAACTATATAACATGTAAGAGCTGACTGTGGCTAGTTTCATTCACTTGATGGACCGTGCTCTACCAGTAAACCCCTCCGAACTTCTTCCCAGCGGTCCTAGACTTGCAGATCGCCTCAGAGCAGAAAAGACATGTTATTGTTTTGGCTTCTATGCCTTTAACATCGTCCCAGGTAACCTTCTTAAAGAGAACGTACTTCAGGACGTCACTTATCAATTCACTGTTGGCTCTCCTGATACAGTGACGACTGTCAGCACAGACACCCGAAGTTTCGGAGACGAGACCGCAGTCGTATTTTTCTTTGATCTCCACGACTACAACATCAAATCTTATCCCTTCGAAGAGCTTGAAGGGAGAGCCGCAACAAGTTCATCTCAAATAGCAAATCTAAGACCGGATCATGACCACCCAATGATAGGTCTTGTCTTCAGGAACTTCAGCAGATTCGTACAGCAAGTTGAGAAGTTGGGATTTCCTCTACGAGATGAAACAACTACCAATGATCCCTTAGAAGCAATTGCACGTGTTCAGGAACTGCTTGAGACTCGTCGTTGGAAACCGAGTTGGCGCTTCTCATTCGTTTTGAATACCTCTGAAGATACGCAAGGAGCAGATCTCATGGTTCTTCTACACAATGCTATTAGCGAATCCAATACGGCATCTGGAACCACTCTGCAAGATTCGGGCAAGGACGAATGAGCTACAGATGAACTGGGTACAGATGGGGCAACTATAGATGGGCCCCAGGTAGACGGATCGCATATAGATGGATTGGATGTAGATGAATCGGTTACTGGCATCTGCATTGCCATCTGACATCCATCTGGTGTCAACCATGTACTCGCTATCTATTGAGCATATACGCCAGGGTGTATTTGGCTCTCACTCCTATCTACTTCACGCGTTTACACACATCTCCAACTAGCTTCACTTCGCGGATCAGTGAGGCCTTTTGGATTCATGGTTTCTTCGTCTGTATCATTATCACTCCGAATTAGTGTCGTCAAATGGCAGCTTGGATAGCTTGTACAGATGTCATGTCACTACCAACGAAGAGTAGCTTCACAATAGCATCGTTCTTGTATCGACACGAATCGACGCTTTCTATCTCGTGATGTAGTCTACATCCGAACTTAACATGCGAAGATCTAAGCGACCACTGCAATTTCACCACCAGCTTTGACTTGAACAAAGTGGGTCTCGCCGCTTTTCAACTTCGCGTCTTCTCCCTCGACCGGCCTCAGTCTCGCAACATACTCGTCATATGGAGCTGGTAGTGGCTTCCATGTACATGCTTCAGAATAGAGTGCAGCTTCGAAGGTTTTATGACTGAATCTTGCATCAATGCGAACCCGTATCCCCAGAAGACGAGATATGTCAGCAGTACTCTGCCGCAAAGGATTCGGAAGACGAAACTGTCTGTGAAAGATAGATTAGCTGTAGTGCATGTGTCGGTTCTTATCCCTCACTTACTCTACGTGATGGTTGAAACACAAGGTGCAATGCTCAGCAAGGCTTTTTTCCGTACGACCATCTTGCTCGTCTAGAAACCTCGTCATTATCTCCGCTGCTTCGTGAATGGGAAGACTGTGCACTCCAGTCACGTCTTGGTTGATCAATCCAGAACTCTGATTCTTTTTGTGATGGGTTCTTTCGTGCCACAGGAGGTTCGCCGGTATGGCTCCGTCCTCTTTCCAGTCTAGCATTATTTTGGGCCGGATGTGTTCCTGCGTCATTACGGATCTCAAGGCCTCAAATATCCAACCGTTAAGCTCTTTACAACTGAGGTGTAGTTGTTCAAGCGGGAAAAGAAGCGCTGGCAACTCGCGCTGGAGAAGCACACGGAGCATGAAAAGAGGCCCAGCTACCTCAGGCCCACTGAAAAGCTTCTGAGGAAGTATGTCGCTATTGTAGGTCTCGGTCTCCTTCATGAGCAGCTCCGAGATGGCTCGATTTGTAATATTGAGGAACGTTGTGTTGCTATGTCCGCCATCCGAGAAGAGGAGGTTGATGAGTGGAGTGCTGTGGACGCTCATTTTACCACCCACACTAACAATTTGCTTCTTCTTGCCACGGCCATTGGTACGCGCAATATCACTCGCCTTTATTCCATGCGCGCGAACCAGGCGATTGGTACACTGGTCGAGTGCTGTCGGTCTACTGCCCATGAAGATACTGGACTCTCCAAGCAGTGCAATTGCATTGTCGATATCTTTCCACTCTTTCGTAACTAACTTCTCCGATGAATCTGCCTCATTTGCGCTATGGGCGTTATGAAGGAAGTTGTAAAGGTGCGCATATCCCAGTACAAGTCCATTGCCGTTCTGCATAAGAAGGAGTAGGTCATTAGCAGCATGCATGACCACAAACGAGATCGTTCCAGCAAGGAACGGATTCATGGTGACCCAATCGGAGTGGTTGCGGTTTTCATATGTTATCGGCGACCAGGTCTCGTCGTGACCGTGGGTTTGCCGGGCACTCGCTAAGCGAGAGTTCCAGATTGGGTCTGAACTCAACCAGATCAGCCGTTCCATCGCATCGGAAGGGTCGCGAAAGAAGGAGTTTAGGTTTGTACGTCCCCATGGACTCTCCAAAAGCGGTGATGTCGTCAACACGTCCTGCAAAAACCCGCCCCTGTCAACGTACGTCCATATGTTCTGATAATCTTCCAGCACTAGGCCAGGGTTCTGACTTGAGACAGCATCCTGTGCGACTAGGTAGAGATCGGTATAAAGCCACATCTCTAGGGAAATGTTTCCTCCATAGCGGGTCTGGTCCGTAGGCTTACGGTCCTCGCAGTTGCGTCGATTTAGGTATGTATACCATGCCAGTGTAAAGTTATCCACAGTAGGCAGAGGGTAATGCACCCGTCTTATCATCCATACAATATCATCGAGGGCGTTTGAGAGCTGTTGTAATTTACGGTCAGGGAAGGTAAGATAGGCAACATCCCCTGATTCGACATAAGGCTCGATGTGTTGCAATACATCCCAGATGTGAATGTAAGATTGCAGACATCCATAGGTCAGCAAGACATCCGGGATCTTGACTTCACAGCGCCTTTCATTCCCTCTAAGTGTGTGTTGCATCGCTCGAATCTCGTCCGTATCTCTCCTCATAGTCTTGCAGATATCAGAATCAGCGAAGAACGTATGCCAAAAGCTCTCAACGTTTCTTATCTCGGGGAAGGAAAGCGAAAACTCATGCACTAAGCTCTTTATCATCTGCATAGCCGCTTGAGTCGTTGCCGCAGTCGAAACAAGGTCGGTGTCCTTCCGGCAATAACGAGCCCAGGTTGTTTGGATGACAACCTTGATCTGATTATAATCGCGCACTAGCATGCTCATGGCGATCAAACAGTCGTCCTTTTGGTTGTCGACAGTGTATGTCGCCTTCGAAGTTGGTGCCGGTTTGGCAGTGGCGGCTGCCTGTCCACCACTTTCCGGCTCCTGGTCTGCCAGATCTTCAATTTCAAGCGAGCTGAACCTGGTGTTCAAATCATTCATGGACGGTGGCATTATATGCTCATCGGGCTTGGGTATCGCTTTGCCAGTAGTGATGAAAGGCTTCAGTAGATCAAGTGCGTACTCTAAAGTCCCCGTGAAGGTAGCATGTGCCTCGTTGCTAGCAGCGAATGCGTGCTGTAGGTCTTCATCTACGTTTTGAGTCTGGGCTTCGTGCCATAGCGTCGACTTGGTGCGATGGCGGATTGCTCGAGCTGCGGCTCTGCTGGCGTAGAGTGGCACCGCAAACTTCTTGGGGGGTTTCTCCGCTACGGCAGCGGCGCATGTTTTCAGATCATTGATGGTGATTTTGCGTGCTTGTGAAGACCTGACTTTGGGTTTAGCCGCGCGCGCTTTCCCCTTGGGTCGACCACCAGTAGCTGCAGCAGTAGCTTGCGCTGGCGCAGTGGTAGAAGGGACGAAGCCACAACGACTAGCCGTTTCAACAAGCCACGTAACAAAGATTTCGGTATCAGCTTTATACTCTCGGTAGCTGTTGGCGATGTTATCCGGAAGCATTTTAGGCGCGTCTGTCGGTGTGTTGACGCTGTGAAATGTCACGTCGCCCTCGCACGCACTCGTGGACAGGTATCTTATCGTTATCGTCACGTGCGCTGACGCCGCGCTACCCGTCAACCCCCTGCAAACATCGTCATAACTCCTCTCATGATCTTCGATCCGTCATCCAGCCACATCACACAACTGCTATGACAAGCTTGCTGTTACTTCCCAACGAGCTCACACAGCATATCGCATCTTTTCTGCCCTGCTCCTCAGCCCTCAGCCTTTCAAGAGCCAACCGACAACTGCGAACCATCTGCAATGACAGAATAGTATTCCACAACATTGCAAAGTACAACTTAGGACAGCCCTTGCTCTCCGAAAATGGCATAGATCTATCGGAAACCCATTGGGCGGAAGCCGACTCCGTCCTAGCCAAAGCAACTCTCCCAGAGACGATCCGCATAGCATATGCAGCCGAGAGATGCATCGAGGCTCTGCTCGAGAGTGGCGACACATGGACCTTACGCAAAGCCAAAGCGATCGATACGTATGAATTGAGTAGATGGCTACCGCATATCATGGCTTTGCACCACCCTGTAGCTGCACAGCTCAAGCCCGAGACTTTCCTGGAGCTTCAAGGCCGCTTACAGGTTCACTTCCAATCAGATGAATTCTCACCCAACCTCCTCGACGTCAATTTCATCCTCAGCTACACTATCTTGACGCAACTGCGAATGACTGGAAACGGGAAGCAAGTCAAGGCACCCTTCGACCGCTTCTTCTCCGTGAACCACATAAGGGATCCACCAATAGTGGCGAGTAACGGGGTGAGATTGGATGGAGATGCAATCAAGAGCCTTCGGCAGCGAGTGCGAGACTATGGTTGCTTCCGCAAGAGACATGGCGATGGATGTGAGATGGACCAAGCTACGACTCTGCTGCCCACTTTCATTCTGGAACTGGCTGTACATAATTTGAGTCCAGGCCACATGTGCGGACTCCCGTCACCTACCAAAATACCCTTTAACTCATTCATGCACTTCTTGCCGACGATCTTCGCCAAGAATCCAGCACCCGCTTACGAAGATGAAGATGAGAACGTACCGTTTGGCGAGTGCTACGCTCAAATGCTCTCACCCAAATTCCTTTCATCCGGACGATGGACGGGTTACTACTCGGACCAACGAAGGGCTTTGGGAAGAAGACGCTTCGACCCGCGTATGCACAGTATCCATTTTGTTGCACGGGACACCACTGAACCAAAGTGGGATGTCGGCGGCTACACCACATATACGATTATCGATTCGCAGAGCCGAGGGACCGATTCTGTCGGAGAGTTCTCCCTGGAAGGTCGCGTGCGACACAACGATGGAGATATCTCCTTGACGAAACGATATCTTTCAAAAGACTTGTCATGTGATTGGGAGGCGAGGATGACACCGTTTGGTATGGTGGGTGCCTGGGGCACTGGACGAAGTATCGATACGAGATTTGGGGGGTATATTTGGATCTGGAAGGAGGAATGGCAGGGATCGTAGTATGCATGTCAGTCCATAGCAGAACACGCTCATTATGCAAACCCACACCACGAACGGGAGCAGCGAAATAGCTTTGACGATATCCATTCCATTGACTGGGAGAAAGTCATCATCTCCCAGGACGTTATGACACACATAGGTGTCTATCAAACCTCCATAATAAGGCGTGACACTGCACCGCATCCATCTCAGTAGACCTCGTGAACATCATCACCTCTACCCTAAATGTCCATACCCATGCATACTCTCAACTGCCATGATTCCTTGAAACACTCCGCAAAAAACGCCCTAACCACGCTTCCAATACAGCCTCACCATCTACGACGTATCCATAGCCTCGCCCGCCCCCGCCGCAGCCGCCGCCTTACTCCGCTCAGCCATCTTCTCCGCCAGCAGATTCGCCTTCCAACTCTGAATCTCCTCCCTGAGCTCATCATTCGGAATGACATCCTCAATCTTGAGCGGCGTCCGGTTAAACGGGTCATGCGGGTCACTCAGCAGATGCGCCTGGATAGTTCCTCGGTCAACAATCTGTTTGCTGACAGGAAGCGTAACAGGGTCTTCCATGAGCGACGCCAAGATAGGATCGAGGTACTGATCTGGAATTTCTCCGAGATCAGCTTCGACCATGTCCGCTTGTTCTTTAGCAGTCTTGATACGCTCGGACATGTTTTCCCACTGTGTCATTTGCTCAGGGGTCTTCAGTTTGAAGCGTTGGAGGATCTTGTAGGCTTCGTCCATATATTCGGGCCGGTAGGAGCGACCGTCTGTGGCGACGGCGTCGATGAAGGATTGCTTGGATTCGAGGTTGAGGTAGACGTCTGTGACTTCTGCGAGCATGTTGCGTGGGTTCCAGCCGTATTCTTCGGGGTTTTCGACTTTGAGTTGAGACTTCTTGGGGCCGACGAGGGCTTCGAGGTTGTAGTCCAGCATGTGGGCTAGGCGTACGACGACTTCCTTTTTGGTGAAGGAGTCGGCTAGGGCTTCGGTGAAGAGCTTCAACATGGCGACGGTTTCGTTGGTGAGTTGCATGTAGCTCTTGGCCTTGCCCTGAGCCGATGACAGCTTTTCTTCCCTCTCTTGACGCTCGGTCTGCTCCATGTTCGCCGGGGCATTCTTGAGCTCTCGTGATAGATCGTGGATCTCTTTGAAGGCAGTGAACGACTCATCCAGAACGAATGTTACATCGTTGAGAAGCAAGTTGACGAACTGAACGAAGAAGTCCAAGTTGACGCGCGCTTCAGTCGCAAGATGCTCGCGATACACTGGGTTCGGCCAGATACACTTGATGACCTGGAAGATCTCGTATCGAATGTTGAACTTGTCAAAGAACTGCGTATGTGTTCCGGTGCTCTCACATTCGATGTAGAACTTCATCAGAGCGTGGAGCAAGTGCTTCATGGCGAAGTCGTGTGCAAATAGCGTGTCGCCAAGCACGCCCTTTGGCTTACCATGAATCTCCCATACTCCGTGGAACAGAATGGTGACAAGACCAGACTTTAAGTATGGGTTCTTGATGTACTCTGAGCTTCTCAGGAAAGTAATGCAGATCTTGACAATTTCCTCGCACTGAGTGGTTGTGATAATATGCGGCATGTAGCGAGTGATGAACTTGAAGTTTCCAACAATGTCTTCAACGAAATATTCAGGTAGACACCTAAACTGCAGTGGTTGCTCTTCGGGGAGAGGCAGCTGCAGCTCTGACTTAGGGAAGTTGGTACCGGGCGAAGCAAGTCGTAGCAGCCACACGATGACGTATCGCATCAACTGCATAGACCGAGCTTGTGTAGTCTCATCAAGCAAGACACCTTGAATGGCCAGGATGCTACACTTGGCCTTCTCGATCTGGTCTTTCATCTTCTTGATGTGGTTGTCGAAGACGGCCAGTTGCGCCTGACTAGTCATGTACTTGGGTCGCTCGGGCTCGAGCTTAGCAAGCTCCTTCTCAAGGTACTTTACGTCCTTTTGAAGGGTACCCAATTTGGTATTGGCCGCCTCCAGACCATAATGATGAGCAGCCACCGTCAAGAAGAAGACCTCGCTGATGAAGTTGTTGGTACCCGAGGCTTTGGTACTGTAGAACTCATCCGATGCATTCTGGTCGGCATTGATCTTTGTCTCATCTTGGATATCAACGCGGGGTGATCGGCGAAGGTAGTCAATGTCGATGCGATCGATCTTGGAAAAGGTAGCGTCCATGAAAGGCTCACAGAGACGATCTAAAATCACTGTGACATTGACCATGAAGCCGTCTGATGATACTGTTTTCCTGTCCACTTGTATCGCACGCCTCTTGTGGTTCTTATTGACTGTAAGCGCTAACCAGTCCAGCATCTTCTCGCGAGATTCCTTGTTCTTGATGAAAGTGTTCGTAATGTCCAGCAGCTCTTCTTGGTGGGTTTGAAGTGTCATGCGGACAGCTCGTTGCGCGTTGACGATGAGTCCCTTGTCGACAGCCGCGGAGCCAGAGAAGTAGTTCATGGCTACGTCAGCCTGCATAGGAGATAGACGGAAGAAGGGCCCTAAGAAACTATGTGTTTCGATATGTTGAGCCTCGATGTTAGCAGGCAGAAACGTCTCAGACTGTGACATGGCAGCTACGAGCGGCGGAAATCGGACGAACACCCGCAGGATCAACATGTGTGCCTTGTAGTCCCCGTTCATAGAAACCTTGGAGAGACGACGGCTGACATCCACCATAGCTTCCACAAGTGTGTCCTTGATGATATCGTCTTCGCCTATCCGCTGGCTCGCTTCCGTGAGGAACTCGTAGCAGACGCCGCGCTCGTCGTCAGGTCCGAGAAGTAAGCGATCAGCCAGTGCGTTCTCCACGGGTGGGTCTTCCTGGAACATTTCTGGTATGCTAGCTGCAAAGATGCAATAGCTGAAGCACACTCGCCGGGCCTCTTTGACAACTTCGAACCGTGGACCAGTCTTATTGGCGAGGTTCTTCAGCGCTTTGGAAACGCGTTTCCAGCAACTCATCGTATATTCCAACGCATAGCCCTGTGGCTTTTCTGACGCTGCTTCCATTATGACGGAATCCAGTTGATCTGTAGTCAAGCGGATTGGCCTGCCCTGTTCCTCAAGATCGCGTCTGGCGCTTTCGACAAAGTGTAGCTTATGTCCGTGTGCATCGTGCGTATGGCTCTCGTCCAGAGTGACCCTAAAGATGCTGCTGATTGTCCGATCCTCCCACGCTTCTATGCTCAATTCCGGCGCCTTCTGGGCGGTCTGCGGTGCGGGGCCATTGCTCGACGACTGTGCGGGTTTGATCGTGATGCGCTTCTTGGGCGGCTCGTCGGTCTTGACGCCTAATTGGGAGAAGGGATTCGCGGTCGGAGTGGACTTCGGTGGTGGCGCCGGTGATTCAGCGGGCTTTGGGGATGAAGTGCCCGATGGTGCGGCTTCGGGTGCGGTCGAGGGCGGCCGTGACGGACCATTTGGAGTCGCAGGGCCGCCCAGCTTTGCAAGGCGCTTTGCACGGATCTGGAAGATATCCTCGTCAGCGTGTCTCTTTGACAGGCGGTCGGAAGGTGAGCTCACCTTGTCGGCGTCAGACATGGCATCGGGCGCAGCAGCGGGTGCGGGTGCAGGTGCGGCATCAGGCATTGCGCTGTCTTGCTGCTCGGATGTCGCGTTGTCTGGTTGGTCGGACATGGCCTTGTCTTGGTGCTCTGGTTGCTCGGGCGGTTGGTCGGCCATGATGGCGATGTACTGGCTTCAGGCTGCAGCGAGCTTCGGTGATGGGCAGCTGAGAGAGGAGTGCGAGCAGTAGAGAGGCGGTGGGGTAGATTAACGTATAAAGAGAAAGAAAGAAATAGGCCGTGGCCGTTTTGGTACAAGGACGTGGAATGAAAGAGGCGCGAACCGTGGAGCGGTACTGCGTCAGTGCCTGTGGTTAGGTACGGGTCCCGGAGCTTCTAGTCTGCCCCGCCACTCTAGCCTGCACCCTCGCTCGCCAACTCACGTGTACCAAAGAAGCTCGACGAAGCGCGACGAAATAGTGCATAGTCATATACTGTATTTCCGCTCTTATCTCCGGCTTATCTAGATCTGACAGATAGCTCCAGATGTGATCGCGACCCTGAGCCCTGCCCAATGCGATAGCGACTATTACTACAAGTTTGGTGCACGTCACCCACTTCTCCCCGCGCCCTGTCTTCATGAACCGCTCAGTTTCATAGTTTCTTTCACTAGATACACGCTCAAGTCTTGATAAGTATACAATTTCTAAGATAAGATCATGTATGCCTACCTTGGAATGCTCTTTGTAGAATGCGACCCGAAACATAGCCACCTTTAGTGTTATATCCAGAAGTAAATCCAGAAACTATGACTTGCCAGCTGGCCTGCGTAGTATTTATACCTCTCTATAATCACTCCTGACCGAGCCGAACGTTGGCATGTCTGTGTTGGAAGGCCCCGTGATGGATACACGATCTCTATAGTCGACAAAGCAACCCGTGTGACATACTTACCTACACACATAGCTTAAAAGCAACTCCAATCCGTCATGTAATCCTCGGCCGTGTCTTCCGTATCCGCTTGTTTCCATACATCTTCTCCACCTGCGACGCCGTGTTCATCAACGTGCCAATTCCCCTTCTCAATCAGGTCACACCAGTTTACCAGAACGGCGGCCAACGGTGTGCCATGTGCGTACATAAAGGGGCCACACGAATGATGCCCATACAAAGCATCTTGGCCTTGATCTTTCGGCTTCATAACAGTTCCATCATTCATGCGCACATGACCATTAGATCCGATTGAAAACGGAAGTAGTAGAGAGATGGAGTGTGTGTGTACCCCATCTGGAGTCAGATATAGACCGGCGCGATTGTCAAGAGTGTGGGCATCGCCTCGGAAGCCCACCCATCGGTCACGATCAGACTGGGAAACGAATTGGAGGCCTGGTGTCCGCCATGGGAAGAAGAGAAATCTGGGTATCCGGCCCATGTCGTATTCCGGCGTGGTGATGGTAATGTCGGGATGTAATT